TGCAAGATTGCTAAAAAAATTAGAAACAATTTACCTACCAACGAATTCAATAAATGCTGAAAAAGAGTAAAGAGTCAAAGAAATCCGTCGTTGGACCATCGACTCCTCCTATTATGCTTTGCCCCGATTGACGATCAATCCATTGAGCCAACTGTCCCAGATGTTGTGCCCATAGCTACGATTTCTTACGCCAAAGAAAAATGATTTCATCCGTGTTCGTAGAAATGTGTTGAGTGTGACTGTGAAGTTTGGGTGGAGGCGGAAAGATCTGACCCCTTATCAGCAATGACGGGCATGCGGATATGGCTGCGCGGATCTTTCCGCCTCCAACCGCCTCTTGGTTTCTTTGGACACTTGTCTATCTAGCCCCTAGGAGCGATGGAGTAAGAGCTGCCATGCAGACTCAGCTGGTGGTTGACAGTGTTATCTGTTGTACTTGATACACAACCATGAGCAAGTCTAATCTAATATTAGTGGAGCTTGATTGTACATTGGAGGGTAACTCTTCTCCCACACAATCTAGGACCTTGGTCCTTGGACTATCACAACACTAGTAATTTCCCGTCTCATTAACCTCCAACCCACTAAATTTTCACAATGGCTTGTTGGCCTGGCAGAAAGAAGTCCTCCGACCATGTAATTCCTGAAAATTTGGTCTGCCTCCAACCTACTAAATTTTACATACCAATCGTTACGAGGCCGCATGCCTTGGCGGTTTTTTGGTACCTCCCGTGTAATTGGGTGGGGAGAAAGATATCAACATAGGAATATGGTTGTGACTCGGATCCATGCACCCCTACCTTTTCCTAATGATTCTCAATATTATGCTTCTGTTAACATCCGATTTGTGATCATAGATACCGTTTTTGCCTCCTATTTGAAAGGACCTGTGTGACCACGCGAGGCACCATTTTGGCAATTGCCAGAAAGTCTGACTCGTGTCTTTTGTGATTTGTTGCCGCTATGTGACAGGACGAGATGACATTTCAACAAAATTGGAAAAACAAACTCGCAAATTTTGTAGTTATGCCACCGTTGTGTGAGTACGCCCTCAATAGATGGGGCAACCATGCTATTGAACTATTCAACCCTTGCAGGCGCCCTAAACTTTTCACACTGACGCTTCTTTTGGGCCTCCCTCCACAACTCTCGACGTGCGTAAAATATAAAAATCATGACGGTGTATCTTTCCGTGTTCTAATGAAAGATTCACTCTCATTTTGCAGATGCCCAGATTAGTGGAGCGAGACCCTTTATCTCGTTCCCTTGTTCAGGCCAAAGATGGTTGTTTGCCCAAGTTAAAAGTAGGGAGTTGGCTGAATGAAGCAGCAAAGTCTCGTCTTCAGCGTGTTCATGAGGGCAGAGGAGAGAGAGCGGAGGGGTGTTGTGCGTGTACGCGTGTTGTGCATGTTTGGATGCCGCCTTGCCTGTATGGGGGGCTGGACCCGGCTGGTACCCTAGCGAGGGAGAACGAACGCTATTGAAGTTTAGGAGGCTACCACGAAGTGAATGGTGGACGTCTAGGGACCATCGATTATGTCAATGCATGGTCCTTAGGCACCCCCCAATCTCTTCGTTGTAGCCTCCTACAACGAAAATGTGCAGGTGGGACCGAGCCCTGGTTAGAATTGTGGGGTATCGGGTCCCGATTTTATGATTTGAAATATGTGGTTATTTAATATATATATATATATATATATATATATATATATATATATATATATATATGTCACAGACCCTCGTTTGTTGTCCTCTTCTCTCTCTCTGCCTACGGTTTACCGGGCAGTTCTGTTTGTGACGATATATATATATATATATATTTTTTTTTTTTCCTGCACCTTTTCTTTTTGCTTTTCTCTCTTGTTGCACGCACAAGCAGAAAGAAAGAAAGGGCACAACTTAGATAGTAGGTTCGATACATTCTCTGTCTGTGTTAACAATGCATTTTTTTTTCCTTTTTTCTTCCAGAAAGATTTTTTTTTTTTTTTTAAACAAACAACCAATCTAATGATGATGATGATAATGTTGATGATGATGATACTTTATTTTGATTGACCCTCCCTTGTCCACCCCTCCTCTTTTCCCCTCTTGCCATCCCTCCTCTCCCTTACTGCTTCCTCTAATCAGAACCACTATGTTGTTGAGTGGTTCCTCACAGCCCCAGCAATAGGAAAACCTCCCTCTACCCAACTCCCCTCAAAGAAGGTTGTTCCCCCCAAAAGCCTTCCTCAAGCTATCTCTATCCTACTCTGCCACCGCTAGTAGATGATGTTCCTCCTTCCATCTCTCCCAGCCCCAGAGTTAGACAGTCCCCCTTGTCCGCCCATATTCCCTAAAGGCAAACACTTCCCACCTTGTGTTTCCCCTGCAGAAAGGAGCTCCCCCCACTTAATCCATCCCGCCCTCCACGTCAGCAACCTTGTGGAGAGGATTTTCACAACCTCAAGTATAGAAAAAGGACAAGGAAATAAGAATTAAGAAGTTGATGATAATAATGATGAAGATGATGATGATGATGATGATGATGATGATGATGATGATGGTTGATGAAGCTGATGAGAATGAAGACTTTTTCTCCCCTTCCCCCCCTCCCCCCCCTCCCTCCTCTCCCCCCTTACTTTTCACGCTGACACTTCGCTGCCTCCGCTGAACAAAAGTGCCCTGATCAAGATTCAAGAGCAGTCTTCATCAGCCCCAACTAGGGTCAGACCCACTCCTACTATTCTCCGTACAAGGCATACAGTTCCCCCAAAAGTATGCCTCGATCAAACCTCTGTCACAATCTGCCACCGCTAGAATATAATCCCAGCCCCAGATTAGTACAACCCCCAAAATCTTCCCTCGCTCCCTACAGGGCAGTCACCTCCCGCCTTGTGATGCCCCTACAGAGGAAAACTCTCCCCCAGCTTACCATCTCGCCAAAACTAAATCATTAGTTAACGAAGGGAGAGTTAGAAAAGAGGAAAGAAAACTCAGTGAAGATGATAAGCGATGATGGCGGCGAGAAGTGCCCTAGGATGAAGAGACTAACGAATTGGTTAATGAGAAGAAACAACGTAGTGATGAGGAAGACTCACCGCACCCTGATGATGTCAACAATCAGCGTGAAGATGGCGAGAAGCGTCGTGCGGAATGATTGAATTTACGACGCCCGAAAAGAGCGCGATGATGATGGCAGTGCATTGCGCAATGAAGATTTTTTTAATTTTTTTTTTGGCACACTGCGCGATGGATAATTAGTAGCCCCCCACTCCCTTCCACTGGTTTTCCAAATACCCTAACTACTCATCCCTTTCCGTTTTCTCCCTTTTTCGGTTCTCCTCCTCTTAGTAATCACACTTCTTCTCCTCATTGTCCATTGACCCCCTCTTCATCCCTCCCCCTTGGGTATGATGAGTGAAGCTGCGCCAGAATACGAAGTGCACCGACTTAAGATTGATGGGGAGAAAAGAAATGAGAAGCAGGAGGGGAGAAAAAAAAGGAAAAAGGCTTGCAATCGAGTACGGGGATCAGCGGAGAAAAAAAGGGAAGGCATTATGAGACAAGAGGCGAGAAAGGTGATGACATGGCACTGTTGACGAGATGGCCGCAGCGGTGAAAACGATGCTGCCGACCATGAAGAAGACGAAAATGATGATCTGGTACTCAATCTTGGTAGACTTTATGATCTTGATGATGAACCTGCAAAGCATATAAAAAAAACAGAGATATTAAACACTTTGAAGAAGATCAGGCCCGTTGATGAAGACGTCCTTGAAGAACATTCTTGAAGAACTGCTTCTTTGCTAACGATTTCCGGAAGAACTGCCCGCACCTGACGATCAAATACTTTCACGCCCCCTCCACACTTCGGTCACCCGGGGTTAGCTCCACTTTCATCCACCGATGCTGACTAATGCCCCATCGCGCGAGCCCTATGGCCTCATGTTGAGACTTCGGCTATGAATTACTTCATGCGGCAGTCACACAGGGAAGAAAGGTCCATGTGACAGGTGTCACAACGCTCTCTCCCGCAAACCGTGTCCAAAACCACGTGAACCCGTGACGCGGGTTGGACAAGCACCTCAAGCTCTCTGCTCGTGTGTAAAGCGCGTCACTGTCACACCATCGTCCCTTTGCTCATCAGCATTCGCGTGTTCGCGCACCACCGCACGCCCATCAGCTCTCCAGCGTACATGCCCGGCGCGCGTCAGCGCACCATTGCCCGCACGCCAGGTCGCCAACTCACACGCGCCAGTACACTACCGCGTCGCCCGCTCACTGCGCGCATTCCTCCATAGCTCGCTTGGCGTCGGCGCTACTCCACTGGTAGCGCAGCGTCAGCGCCATGGTAGTCTGTGTTGACGATGCATGTGTGGAACTAATTGCAAAGTTTTTGAGGAATTCCAAATTCCGAAGTTAACGCTGAATACATTCATCTCGTCGAAAGTAAAATTCACATTTAAACAACAATTTCATCAAAACGGACATATTTTATTTTTTGAACGAAATTGGAAACTAAAAAATTGGCCCGATTTAGGTCGATATTTTCAGCTCCTAAGGGTACGGCGCTTTGAAAACGCCCTAGAACCCCCTGGATGCAAACTAAGTCCAGATACATCCAGGGGGGTACGGCGTTTTCAGAATGCCGTACCCCCTGGACTCCTGCTAAGTCGAGATACATCCAAGGGGTCCTGCGTTTTAAGGACGCTGGACCCTCAAGAGCTTGAAATTTCCACCTAAATCGCTCTAATTTATGGGGTTTCAATTTCGTTCAAAAAATAAAATATATCCGTTTTGACGAAATTGTTGTTTTTACGTTTAAAAAAAAGTTTTTGCTAGTCTACCAGCCCGGATGTCCAGGAGCCTTTTAGTGATTGGGCTGGTTTAAAAATCGTGGAAGGGGTGTTGAGGGTTTTTGGGCCTGTGGGGGTGGGGTTTGGGGTACGTAGTACCGATGGGAAGGATGGGCGATTTTCGTGAGGTCGGTTGGGCCTTCGAAAACGAAAACGGAAATGGCCCGGTCTGGGCCATCAGATCTAAGAGATTTACGGCCCAGATCAGGCCAAATTCAAATTCGAATCAGACCAAATTCAAATTCGAATTAAGCGCCCACGTGACTTGGGCATGTCGTGGGAGCTGGATGTTGCCAAAATTGCGCGCGAACGGCCACGGCCCGACGCATGTTCCAACCCCCGTGCAGGTGCGTACACTCCTCCTTCCTCCTCCTTCATGTCTCTCTCATCTCTCTCCTCCTTTTCTTGTTCTTCGTCATCCTCCTTCTCCTCCTCCTCCTCCTCCTCCCCCTCTTCCTCCTCGTCGTCGTCGTCATCATCCTTCTCCTCCTCCTCCTCGTCCATTGTTGCGGGGTCCCGATTTGCGTCCATCGCCTCGTCCTCCTCCTGCTCCCTTTCCTCCTTCGCCGCCGCCTCCTCTTCTTCTTTGTCGTCGTCGCCGTCCTCCTCCTCCTCCTCCTCCTCCTCCTCCTCCTCCTCGTATTCTTCTTCTTCTTCATCCTCCTCCTCCTCCTCGTCCACTTCATCTTTCTCTTCTTCTTCATTCTCCTCCTCCCCGTATTCTTCTTCTTCTTCCTCATCCTCCGTGTCGTCCTCGGCGTCGTCGCCCTCCTCCGTTGTTTCAATGCCTCCTCCTCCTCCTCCCCGTCCTTCTCGTCCTCCTTCTCCTCATCCTTATCGTCGTCGTCCGCGGCTGTCTCACCATCCCTACCCACCCAACTCCCCACATCCCCTTCTCGCCATCGTCCTCTAGGTCATCGTCTCCACTCCCCTCCCCATTTTTTTTCCGTTTTTCAATCAATCAATTCAAAATCCAATCCAATCGATACATTGGTTCGGATCTTGAAAATCAAGATCCAATCCAATCTTTTGATTGGATCGGATTTTGATTGATTGATTGATTGATTGATTGATTGATTGATTGAAAAAAAAACGAATAAACTATGGGGCAGGCGGACGCGACCAAGTCCGACTCCTCGTTCTCCTCCTCCCCATCCTTCTCCTCCTCCTCCTCTTCATCCCTATTGTCGCCGTCCACGTAATCCCTCACCGCCGTTGCCACGTCGACATCCCTGCCTGCTCAACTTCCCACATTCCCGCGCGGCGTACCAATTTGCCTCCACTGCCGCTGCCCCCTCTTTTTGCTCTCTTTCCTCCTCCTCCTTCTCCTCCTCCTCCTTCTCCTCCTCTTCTTCTTCATCCTCCTCCTCACCCTCTTCTTCCTCCTCGTCTTCGTCTTCTTCTTCCTCATCCTCCTTCTCGTGCTCCTCCTCCCCTTCGTGTGTGTGTGTGTGTGTATAGATAGAGTTTGTGTGTGTGTGGATGTGTGTGTGTGTGTGTGTCTGTGTGTGTCCGTGTGTGTGTCTGTGTGTCTGTGTGTCTGTGTGTCTGTGTGTGTGTCTGTGTGTGTGT